AAAAAAAAAGGTTTTGTAGCCCAGCTTAAATTTACATCTGAATGAACCTCCTGGCTTTTGGTCCAATCAACTCAATCTGGCCGAGAAACTAAGGGAAAACTATTTTGGATGATTTCTCAATACTTGTTTGCTTCTCACAAGCACTTAGAGGCAAAAACTACCCACAAAACTATCTCACAGTGTTTAAGCATGGTGCCAGAATGATAATGATTTGGGGTTTAATAAGGGAGAACATTAGGTTTTCTGTTTAAACTTAAGCCAGTTTGTGTCCTAAAACCGGAAAACCAACTATAAATTTCTCAAACTCATTAAAATGCTGGTTTTTGAGGAAGTTGTTCTTAAAAGGAATACAACCTCAGAAAAAAGGAAGCAATGGTAAACATGTTTACACAATATCCTCTTCATGTGAATTATTCTTCTGTGGTTTTAATATTAAATCTCTGCCCAAAATACTGTTTTCAAATAAATATTACCAGTGTAAGATTGACATGCTCGCTTCCTGTCGTTACACACTTTTCAATTTTATAAAAATCTCCTGATATGTAAAATATGCAGAAGAAATAGAATCATTTTTCTCCCTGATAGCACTGAGAGCACTTTTTTTTCCCAACTACTGCCTTGTGGTTAGATCGCTGCCTGTAAATATCCCCTTGACGTGCGAACAATAACTTCACCATCAACTTCAAATTACAGCTTTCCAACCACAATTTGCTGTTCGGAAAGTTGTTTTTTTGATGGACATCTACCAAGTCCTTTACAAAGAAAGAAAGAAAAAAAAAACGGAAGTTACTATGGTTACAAAGTGCTTTGCAATGTGGTTGACGAAGGAAAGAGTGTGGAGAGAACAAGGCAAATTAAAATGTGGGTAGTGGGTGTGAAGCTGGGGGTCAGATTTAAATTTCTTTTTTCACACCCCTTGAAGGTTGATAAGTAACGTATTCCATTAGAAAAGTGAAAGATGACTTCTCAAATATATGGCTATCAAACACACAAGCCCAGGCTGCATCTGAAACTCCTATAGAAAACCCTTCATCCACCTTATGTGCGTGAGTCAATTCACGTAGGTGGGATAAATATAAGCACCTTGTGGCCAGAAACACAACATTATATTACAGTCAAAGACTTGTTTTTTTCACAGAAACTGTTACAAGATAGCAGCAGGAGGTTTTTACAGCCCGTCAATGCAGAGCTCATCTTATAAAGCAATCATAGCAGCAGAGCAAGAGGTCCCTGGACTTCTCTCATTATCACAACAAGTATGATGCATGGTAAACATTCACCTCTTGTCAGGTAACAACCATAAATGTCATCGTACAGAGCATCATTAAGATTTCAAGCGATAGACTAACAGAAAATTGTGCATTATGGTGAAATAAAGGAAGTAAATTTTCAGAACCTTTGACAAATAAAGGTGACTTGAAAGATGTGAATTAGTTCCCTTTATTCTGATGTCCACATTTTAAACTTTGCTCAATCAGAGGCCCTTAGGGGTCATTTTTAACAAGTGAATAGAGCATATCTCCACATAAAATCAGCTGTTCTGTAAAGACCTAAAATGATTGGTTGAGGACATCAGTGAACAAACAGCATCATGACCAACATGGAACACAATATTCAGGTCTGGAATCAGTTTAAAGCATGACTTAGATTATAAAACATTATCCGAAGCTTTGAATATCTCACAGAACTCTCTGCTCAGCACATTATCCAAAAATGGAAAGAGTATGACACATATGCAGCATGACCAAGATATTTCGGTCAGCCTAATCTGGCAGGGAGATTAAGTGGATCACAGAATCAACATTAGGGCCCACAGTCATTTTGGAGGAGCTGCAGAGATCCACAGCTCAGGTGGGAGAATCTGTTGGCATGACACCCGTCAGTAATATATTTTACAAATCTGGCTATTGTGAAAAAAAAAATCATTAGAAGTTCAACACATGAGGGAGTGAACATTTGGAAGAAGATACTCTTGTAGGATGAGACCAAAATAAAACGCTTAAGCCTATTACAAAATTTAACATCCCAAGTTGGAAACATCATCAAAATTTTGTTCAATATTGGGCTATATATATTTTTTGTTTAGTGTTTTCTCAAAGATTTATGTCCTTTATTTAGAATTCTCCTTGCTATGGTTAATTATTTTTGCTGCAATGCTTCAGCATGAACGCATGTTGCAACAACGTAGAGGAAAACCTAGATTTAACTGGAAACCCTGCATCTGAATCTGGCTCATCAACACAGTAAAACATGGCGGCGGTATCACCATGATATGGGGATTTTTTTGTTGTTTTTTTTTGTTGTTGTTGTTGCAGAAAACATAGTGAAGCTTGTTGAAGTTTAATGGAGGATGGATGAAGGGAAGTATAGGGCAACCCTGGACAAAAAAACTAATTAGGCTTGGGTGGGCTACAACATTCCACCAAAACAACTACAATATAACCAATGCAAAAATGTCAAAGTCCAGACCTAAATCCAAATGGAGCCTCTCCAGAGACATTCACACACTCCTTCCATTCAATCTGGTTGAACATTAAAAATTGAGCAAGAGGGGCAAATCTTCTCTCCCTTGAAGTGCAAAGCTGGTAAAGTTATCCCAACAGAATTGCTGCTGTAATTCCCATAAAAGTTGTTTTACAAAGAACCAAACAACTGGCCAGATAGAACTGAACAAATATTGAAAAACAATTATTCTGCCCAAATTCATTATTATGCATAATCTCATGTTGATCAGCCATATAAAATTGAAATTTAACAGTTTTGTAAACTGCTTTTTTGTACCGGTAATTATAAAAAAGAAACTTGAAAAAAAGCCCAGTGTCTATGACTACCCTTATCAAAGTCTTTTAGGTATCTGATATGAGCTCTGTATGGTGTGTGTGTGGGTCAGTGCGGGATGATACTGTATCCTCATACAAATATATCCCTGTGTGATTAGTCTGCCTCTCAATAGCTTACCTTGACAGGTATTTGTCAGCTGAACGCCTGCAGTTTGAATGTAAATGAATTCAAATTGCATGGCTGTGAGGGCTCCACGCTCTCACTATGACCTGCAAAGGTATGGTCAGATCATGACATGCATCATGCCTGTGATGTAACGCTTTTGCAGCCTTCTGCATCCATAAGAGGAGACGATGATCACTACAGGCTGGTTATCTAAGGAAATGATATGTAAACACAGCAGTGTTTAGTGTGTTTGCTGTGGTGTCATAATGATCGAACTAAACAGGACTGTAGAGAGGACACACTTTTAGTAAGGGGGTAGAGGGCCGGTGGCGAGGGGGGCTGTGCATGCAACTCAACCTGAGATTCCTAGTTTTGAATTATTTTTTAGTTTGTCCAAAAGGAAAGAAGAAAAGAGAGATACAAAAGCAGGACTGTGGCTAAACTTTCTTTTGCATATCAGTAGTGAGAAATTGCTCTTGGTCAGTCTGATGACTCTTTCTGTAAAGCTGGAACATGAGATAACTGGGTTCAACCTCTGGTTCTGACTGTCAGACTCTATTCAAACACATAAACACATAAGAGGATGCATACAGAAAACATTATCACATGCATAAAATGAGAATTCCACTGGTTTTACTTACATGTTGCTTCTTTCAAGCATCTGAGCCTCTAGTCTTCGTGGAACATGTCCATCAGTCATCCCGGACACACCTGTGTGGCCTGTGTCATGCTTGCAGACTCCGTATAAAAAAGAGAATGAGCAAAGGAATCCAGACAAGCTCACCAGACACTCCTTCTCTCCTCTTCTCTCTCTCTCTATCTGTCTCTCTCTCTTCCCTCCTACTCACTTTTACATTTTTTCACTCCCACTCTGCTCACTCACTCACTCGGTCCTGTTAACCTTTCTCAGACAGATTCACTATTTCTTGCTCTCTTTCTCTCTCAGTCTCTCATGTCTGAACTGGTTCACCCTGCTTTCTGCTGCCTCTCTCAAGTCTCTCCTCTATTCGCAATCAACCTTCTGTTCCTCGCCGTTGCTGTACGCTCCATGGCGCTCTGTTGTGGGGTGTATAATTAGAGATGAGAGTGTTGTGCAACTCTTCAGCTGATGGTAGGCGTATGATTGCCTGATGGCATTGGCGTCGCGCCTGGTTCAGTGACTTGTTTCAGGCCAACTTGGACACTAAAACTAACACAGAGGAAACAGCAATTTCCCTCGATTGAGCTCTGAGTTTTTGCCATGAACACTCTTTTAAATCTCGTAACATATATGCAACAAGGTGGTTTTTTTGTCAGTATTGACATGATAGAAAGTACATCCCATCATGGGGATCTCCTGTTCCATGACACAGCAAAGGTTTCTCTACTGGTTTGGTATCAGGTGACTGAGAAAGGCCATATTGTGAACTCACTGTCATGTTTATGAAACCAGTCTAAGATGATCTGAACTGTGTGAGATAAATCATTATCCTAATGCTAGTGTTTAAACAGTATTCCGTTGGTAATATCGTGCCCCAGCTGTTGTAAGAACACATATCCCATACCATTACACCACCTCCATCAATCTGAACCAGTAATATCCGTACTTTCACATTGTAATACCAAATTCTGACCGTGTGATCTAAATGCTCAAGGTTAAACATATTCATTGGAAGAGTGAGATGATTTTCCAAATCTATAATTGCGTAGAATTCAAAAGCCTGTGTGAGCTGTAGCCTCAGTTTCCTCATTATCCGCTGATATGGATCAGAGCTCATTTTGTTATGCTTTCAGGGACTGTTTTATACAAACCATTCCCGAAAGCAAAGGTAACCACTCATTTCTAACAAGGTAGAAATCCTGTGTAACAAGTCTCCTCAGATATCTGAAATCAGCAAAAAAAAAAAAAAAAAAATCACTCCTTACAGGACTTTTTTTTTCCATTCGCTGTAAACCAGAGAGATGGTTTCGCATTAAAATCCCAATTGATCAGCAGTTTCTGAAATGCTTCGTACATTGGTACTAACCGCCATGCCACATTCAAAGCAGCTTAATTCTCCTTTCCCTTTCTATTCACATACTTCTATACACAAACATTTCAACGCATCAAGTTGGTGTCACATTTTTACATGTGTTATATTAGAATAGATTAGAAACATCTCTTGTTATCCCACTTTGGGGATAATTAGGCAGCAATGCAATTAGGGAAATGAAAGCATATGGGTACACATCAGACTAAAAGATTATGAAAATAAAATCCAACCATTAGAATCAGAGGAGGGTAGACCACACAAAAAATGTCCCAAAGCAAGAGTAGCACTACTTCAATGCATTTTTACTCAAGTAAAAGTCAAAAATAGACTTCCAAAAAAAGCCTCAAGTAAGAATAAGAAGAAAGTCCGCTCAAGCACTGAGTAAGTGATCTACTTGCTACTGATCATTATGACATCTGATTTGATATTTCAAAAATGTTTAAAAGACACAACAGCCAATTTAAAATAAAATGGAAAAACGGTGCAAATAACATAACTGTAGACATTGTGGAACTGAAAGGATGTTAGTAAACAAAGACCTGATTATTTGGCTGTATGAAAGCACCCCTATTTTTCCATCTTTTTGTGAATTATTGTTGTATTAAGTCAGTAAATAAGTGAGTATGTCTTTCAAACTGCTTTGTTGAGATTATTGAAAGGTCAGCATCAACTAAAGATTCCAAAAGAAAAAAAAAAATCAAGCTGCAGAAAAATGAAAGCAAGCCTTTCATAGTGATGTGTGAAACTTGCTTTGTTTGTTTTATCTCATAGAAGAAAGAGGACATGCCTTTAGAACACCAGCTTCTGGCTCAGCTATTGATTTTGCAGGGCCTCAGCAGGTGAACCCCCAGTCATGAGAAAACCCACGCACGATTTATTATGTGGTGAAAAGGATTTCTCACTTTGACTCACACCAAGCTTCCTCTGCCCACTCTCTCTTTCTGTGTCTCTCTCTTCAGTCCTCTGGTTCCTCTCTGCACACACAGTTGCTTGGGTTCATGGCAATGGTGAGAGTTTGCATTGCATGCCTCCTTTGCCACGTTTAGCATATTTAGGCTGAACCACAGCAACCTGTGACATTTACAACCAGTGTGTTTTTATTGATAGAAATCGCCAGTCACTCCCACCACTTCCCAACTGCTGCACAACAGCTTGTATTTGCAGTTTCACTTTGCAGCTTGGCATAACAACCAAAGTGACAGTTCCACTATCTTTTTTTTTTTTTTTTTACGTACTGAGATAGGTACAAGTTTGGTGTTCTCAAAACAGTTGTTGGCTAGTATGATTTATCAATAAATTCAATAAACACATGTGTCATCTAAGTCATTAAAAAAACCTCCATAATGCATGTTTCGAACATCCATACTAATTGATGTTCTTACTGTTTTCTGCAATGATTCCAAATCACTCTCTTTCCCTGCATGTTATTGAAACAAGGGAGCTTCTCTTATATATCAGTCTTTTGTTTTGAAAAAAAAAAAGAGACAAAGATCTAGATTCCTTGCAGGCTTAAAAACCATTATCAGGAATTCTGTCTGGATCTGACATCCTTTATCCAGTAGGTGGAGGCAAAGTTGAACAATTGAGGAGTGAGCTTCTTTAATTATAATAGATATTTCTATCCAGTGGTAAAAGCTGCAGAATTTAAAACCTAAACAAACTGTTTGATTAGTGTTTAATTGTCATTCTATTATTAAAAGCTGGACAAACACAAATAAAATTATTATTGAAATAATGTGTTAATACACAAGAACCAAACATAAAATAATATTGGTATAAAAGGAAACTACACGTTTTAATTAATACTTTAGGGATTTATGTTTGTTTTGTAATTTCTTGTTTTTTATTTTTTTATTTTCTTATACCGGTAGTCCTTTGTTCAATCCGACCAGCTCTGCCACTTAAAGCAGCGGAAAATGTTGACTTTTTTTTTTCCTCCAGGAGGAAAAATGTGATCTGTTTTGGTTTTCTGTGATATTAGAACTAGTCTGACTCATTTTAATATTTCATTAGGACAATATTTCTATATAATAATCATAAGTGTTCAAAACCTCAACTTAAGTTATCATAACATTATTTACTAAACAAGGATGAAGAAAAAACTTACACCCAAAACGTCAGGCATGAAAAAAAAAATATATTTTTTTGTCTGGATTTTTAAAGAAAAGAATCAGGAACTAGTGATTAACAAAATTAAAAGCTCAAATTAGTATTATTTAACCTTATACGTGTTTGATGTCGCTCCATTAAAGGTCACCTCATTCCTCCACTAATTCAAACATCTGCATGGAGTTTGTTTGGAAGAATGTGATCCATTTAAAAAATAAAATAAAATCAAACCAATAATGAGAAGTAGTGGCACAATGCAGAAATGCGGGCGATGTCAAAAAGTAACAACATTCTAGGAAATTATATATTAGCTGCAGCAAATATTAGAATACAGAAGGCCAAAGAGTTGCTTAGTTCTGTATCTGTCTGGGTATCTGATGGGACCATGAGTACTCACAATGAATTTCTGCTCATAATACCTCTGGGGGCAGCCGTGAAGGACCTTACAAGGAGTGAGGCAGAGGAAATGATGCCATGCAAAAGCCCAATGGACACAAACTGCAGGATAGATATTTTTGATCAAAAAATAAACACACTTAAAGAGGCTATGAGAAACATAACTGAGCAGAAGATGGAAGAAATTAACAGTTTTTTAAACTTTAGATGACAAGATGAGTGCTGGAACAAGATTTTTTTTTAGATTGAAGTTTTTAAGACTGTGAGAATATTTTGCTTTCCATCAGCTATCTATAGTCTAAACTGGTCTGTTTTTTGCAAACATTAAAAACAATAAAGACATAATTGAGAGTATTGCTCCATTAGTGAACACCTGCTCTAATTCTGCACTCCAATTCGAAAGAGGGGAGTTTATTATGAAGAATTTTCTAAATGTTATCTCACCTGGTCAAATATACAGCATTTATAAGGAGTAGTTCAGTTTAGGTGCCAGAATACTTGTAGCTTCTAGAAAACCAAACGAGTTAGAGTATTTATTTTTAGAAAGAGGAAAACCGAAAAATGGGGTGAACAGTTTTGAACATATACAAGTGTACAACTAAAGTTTGCTGGAACATAGGCCCATTCCTCCTGACAAAACTCCTGTTATCTGTAATATTTTCAGCTGTGCACACACATTTTCCATGGCACTGGGAATAGGGCTTGTGGTTGTCACTGTGATTAGGGTTAATACCCATTTGGAAAAGCCTTTGATATTTACAACCTTTAGTACGTTTTTAAGTAGATAATATAGAAAAGACTTCTTCCTCGCGGACTGGGCTCATAGCTCATTTTAATAAAAGATCAGCTTGTCGTGGGTAATGTACCTCTCTTGCCCAAGAGAGTTCTATTTAATTAGTAGATGAGACGAAATATTCATCTTTTTTCTAGAATTGATTAAGCTATTCTGTAGAATAAAGACTATATTGATCTTATAAGACTTAACTGTCAGCATGCATCATGTTACTTAACTCTACAGATGAAAGATTTTGTTCCAACAGACTGAGCTTAGATGTCTACTAACAAGCAAGGAGAAAGAGGTCAAAAGACGTAAATGAGGATGTGAGGAGGGGAAAGGGGAGCAAGAAGACAAAAATAACTGAGGCATGTGTCTGTTCCTCCTTGGTATTTTCCACTCTGGTAAATCTCTTCCTCCCTCCTCTCCCTGCTTTTCTTGTTCTCTTCCAACTCCTCCCTCCTTTCTGTCATTGGTCAGCTGGTTTGATCCACAGAGCCACAAAGTTGCTCTAGCTCTCATCCAAGTGGCTAATGCTGCCCTCAGGGAGGAAAAAGAGAAGCAGGGAAGAAGAACCGGTGGGGAGGCAATCTATATCAGGATACTTTGGACCAGTTGACGAGAGAAGAGGAGGTTGGAGATGCTTGACTGGATTTTGGTTGAACTCTGAGGAGACTGACCTTTAACCTTCTTTACATCTGATCGATGGTTTTGTTTTTAACAACTTTTTCAGCATCATGAGCTCCTCATCAGCCAACCTTCAAAACAAACTTCTGCCTTGTAAGTGATATTAAAACTTATGAAACTGAATCCCGTGTGTTTAATCAGATGGTAATTTTGACCCAGATTTAACATTATAGGAAATTAGTACTAAAGTGTGTGAGCGTATGTCTGTTTTATTGTTTACATTTCTCCTTACATTCAAATGTGTAAATTTAAATGGACAAATAACCCCACAATAATTACTAAAAACATATGTTATTGCTGCAGGTTTAAAACTTGTACCATTTTGTTAACCTAGTTCTTGGCCAAATATGGACTGGTAAAGTTTAATTTATCATAACAGGAGGGTGTGTCGGCCATGCTTACTTAGTCAGATTTTAAACGCAAAACCTTGGGTAAGAAAAATCTAATCTTAAAAAAATTCTAGATAGTAGTTCATTTTAATTCTATTCAGAAATATTTTATTAATCCCAGAGGGAAATTAAATATAATATATAAGTAATGTTAATTTGAAGTTAAACATTATTAGTTTATTTCTACACGAAAAGTCCAAGAAAAAACAGCATTTATTAGTGAACAAATTAAAACAACAATCCATAAACACTTATAAAATTATTTTTTTTGTTTTTGTTTTCAGGGAATCTCAGTAAATAACCCATCCTACTACTACATATCTGTGGAGGATAAAAAGTGCCAAAATTAAATAAATAAATACAGCATTAAATAAATAATTAAATGTTTCAATAATTAATTAAATGTGGCATTAAATAAATAAATGTGTCATTCATTCATTAAAACCACGTCACTAATATAAAGTGCCACAATTAAATAAATAAATACAGCGATAAACAATTAAGTAAATGTGTAATTCATTAAATAAATAAGGAATTAAATATAAAAATGTGTCATTAATTTAATAAAATACGTCTTCATTTTATTAAAAAATTATATATAATTATTTCAGTGTGCATTTAATTGTTTCATGGTCCTGTGTCGCAGTGCATCGAAACCATTAAAATAATCTGTCAAACTCACCCATTAAAGTTAGGGGGGGGGGGTTATCTAACACCTGATTGGTCACCCTGCACATTAAGGCGAAGCAAATCGATTACAGAGACTCGATTCGCGTTAACCCCGCCCCCTAACTTTTATGGGTGTGTTTGAGAGATTCTTTTAATGGTTTCGATGCACTGCGACACAGGACCATGAAATAATTAAATGCACACTGAAATAATTATGTATATTTTTTTAATAAAATGAAGATGTATTTTATTAAATTAATGACACATTTATATATTTAATTCCTTATTTATTTAATGAATTACACATTTAATTAATTGTTTATCGCTGTATTTATTAATTTAATTGTGGCCCTTTATATTAGTGACGTGGTTTTAATTAATGAATAACACATTTATTTATTTAATTCCACATTTAATTAATTATTGACACATTTAATTATTTATTTAATGCTGTATTTATTTATTTAATTTTGGCACTTTTTATCCTCCATACATATCTGCCATATATTTCAAATGTCTATGATTTCTTAATTACAGAAAGCCACACAAATTGGTTTGCTAAACGTTTAACAAATTTGCCATACACTATTACCAGCTGAACAAAACTGTTTCTTGGCCTTGTTTAAATACCTTATATGTTTAGAATAGCCATGCTGAGATGCAAGATCTACTATGCATATACTTGTCTACTAAATGTGTAGAACTTTTACAAAAATGTTGTAACGCCTATATATTCATAACATTATTTAATATCATGCTACACTTTGCAGACTCTCAGTCTGCACTAAAGAAGACTAACCTAAAGCTATATCAAATTTACCGAATGAATTAGCTAGAGATTATTTGACCACTTTGTGGGTAATAAACCATAGGGTAATTGGGGAATAAACCTTAAGTCCAAAAGAATAATATTGTTTTAATTATAGGAGATACATAGCCAGAATGGATGACATAGCAAAATTTTTTGCTTTCCTGTTGAAGTACAACAGTGGAAACTTGACCCCACTTCAAAAAGCAATAAAGAATTTACGGAGACAACAACTTTACAAAATTTACTTTGTTGTCTTAGAGTTAGAACTATGCTAACATATTTTGTATCCATGATTCCACATGGCAAGATATGTGGTACTGACACAGGATAAACTGTAACATTAAAGAAAGCACTACAACATTAAAGAAAGCACTACAAGATTAAAGAAAGCACTACAAGATTAAAGAAAGCATAAAGAAAGATTGATCACAGCTCTATGATCACTCCGTTGAAACAGTGTATTAACGCCTTAACTTAAAATGTTGAAACCTGCCAGCAAAATATGTTTGCTTTGATTATTCTGGTGCTTCAGTTTGTACCACATGCCTGAAACAATCTAACATCTACTTCCAGCCTTAAAATTTTAAGTTCCGAATTCAGCTTCTCTGATTGGTTGATGTTGCGCATCCAGCAGCAAAAGTTCAATTTTTACAACTCGAGCAGCTGCTGCTCGTGAAGTGCGCCCCATGCCTCAAATGCTTAGCAGCTCATGAGTCGCTGCTCCTGCTGCTCTACCTGCTGCAGGACCTTTTAATGCACAGCAACCGTTGACTTTGCATGTAAACCAGCTGCTTTTGTGGTCTGAACGTGGCATTACTACTTTTAACCCACTTATCACAGCAAATATAGCAAAGACGCTCTCTGCCATTGAACGCAGGAACAGCCGAAGCATCTGTGCACACTTGACACGATTGCGTCTGAACTTACTGTGTACAAGCATGAAAAATGAATCAGCAGGTGCCTTTTTGCTGCCCAAAGCACATCCAAGTAGCATTAGACTTGTGCTTACTTCAGTTTTTAATACACATCTCTATGTCTGTTTGCATGAATGTGATGTGCAACATTTTTTCTTTACTTAACTTCTAGAACAACAGACTGTCCCATCCTGCCCTGCACAACATGTCACATAAACCTGCCACATGGTTTGATTACCAAATAGCTGCCCTGGTCCTCTCAGCTTGGTCATAATGGCACAACTAAAATCAGGAAATGGAGAGCAGTTGCCTCTTCTATGCAGCCCGCCTTCCTGCAAATGAGTCTTTACTGACAGCATACTAACTTACACATCGGGGTTGGTCCGGAGCATGTTCCGTATCACCTCATATGTATGCTTGGATTCAAAAAATTCATGAATAGTCCTATTAAGGTTTGGATCACCGAGAATATTCATGTTTTTAAAAAACAAATTAAAGCCAGAATAACTTCTGGTTCCAAAGTAAAATGAGCTGCAGTCCAATCAGCAATCTCTTAGGTCTCCCACTGGGACATACCTCTTCCGGTTTGTTAATGTTTTAGTGCTTTCCTTAATGTTGCAGTGCTTCTTTAATGTTGTAGTGCTTTTGTAATTGGTAATTGTGCTTTGTTAATGTTGTAGTGCTTTTGTAATTGGTAATTGTGCTTTGTTAATGTTGTAGTGATTTAGACCTTAGGGCCACCGTATGATGATGCTAAATTGACATAAGTAAGGAGAACTGAATTAATGTTCAACAGTACCACTGCTAAGAAGAATCTCCATTTTTGTAACATTTATAAATGAAAGCCAGTGTGACTGTTCAGCTAATAGCTACCTTTGGGGTTGTTATCTGCAGTGATTAACACAAGAGCTGCCTGTGCCAAAAAATATGAAAGATATGTTGACTAACCACTCTAACTCCTTCTCACTAGTACTAGACAAACAGGTCATATTCTCTGGAGGCATTTGAATATGAACATATACAAACATCAGCTAGGTTAAACAGGCTCATCAAGGACTTTTTTTTCATTTCCATTAATTTTAACCTGTTCCAGCCTAACTCTGAGCCTCTCCCTAAACCTAATAATAACTGGTACATACCTAACCCAAAGTCAGACCTTATGTAGAATTGTAAGAACACCCTTCCGCCCTCAATGACTTTATTAGTAAAGTACGGATAATATGAAAAGGAATTATAAGTTGTCACTCACATGCAAGTTTAAGCACACATGTTGACTTTGCATTGACTTCTATCTCCCATTCCTTTCAACCAAACCCTCCCCCTATTACCAATACATATCTAACCTAAATTCAATTGACTCCGTAGCCTCCCAACCAAGAAGAGAACATTTCCTTAAAGGGACATATTGACTGATTCACACACTTTCATTTCCCCACAAAATGTCTCATATTCCTGGGAAATTAGACTTACAGTGTCCCCACAAGGTAGCCAAACATTGAACACTCACACACAGAGACGTAATGTTGGACTGGGACCAAAGCAGAAATACAGACAAAGATCTATTCTTCCTAATGGGATTGCTCTGTCAGATCCCGTCAGAGTTGACTCATTGCAGTCTGTTTTCATAGACAAAGTAACCCAGATAGGATCTGAAACTTAATTAGTACCATCTAGTTCAGAGATTTCACAAGACTAAAATGGATCAGGGCTTTGACTCCAGAGAAGTTGTCCCCCATCTGTTGCTTTATCAGCTTCCCTATATACTCGGCTCTATTAGGTTTTAATATTTGCTTGAGTCCGCTGCTAGTGAGAGTTGTGAGTGGAATAAAGGTTTCTCTTTAAGTCTTTGTAGTGAAGCTATTTAAAGGTTGACTTTGATGACTCTTCTGCTGACATCTTAAGATGATGGTTTGCATTTAATTTTATTTCAGTGCATCAGAATAGATGGGGGTTTAAAAACAAATTAATTTCAGACTTTTAAGATGTCCTTATGTCTTTGCATATATGACACAAAACTGTTAAATTATTTGAGGGTTTTGAGGTATGACAATGTGGAAAATACAGATGTTCGGAAAATTATACTGTATCCTATAATGCTATCATAACCTAAGAAGCTGTTGGAACCTGTTAAGTACTTTACTATATTAGAAATACACTGAAGCAGCTTGTTGGGAATATGACAAAAAGGAAATAGATTTTATGACCAAATTAGGTTTGCTCATAAAAACTCTTAAATTTCTAATGCATGTTTGGCTTATACAGATATAGCCTGAGATATTTGGCACAAATTATTGCCTTAACTACTGACAT